TTAGTAATATTATTGTCATTTAATGTAAAGCAAAATATTGATTGTAAATTAATAAGGAAATAAATAATGCTCTGCTCCACATAATGTTTTATAATAGAGAAAACACTGGGAAACAGATATATTCTGTCCAGACTGTTGGTTGGCACGCTGGTACACATTCTGGTAAACACATCTCACCTATTCACTCCTTGTGTCACGAAAATAGACTTGAGAGATCCTCTCAGGAAACACAACCCCCCTTTGAGGTTTTATGAGGTAAGCGTTGATATTAAGAAGCAGAAAAATCTGTTTCTTGGGCTCAGCTTCTCATACACTAGCAGCACAATCACTGCTGACAGCACAGAAAGCAAATTACAATCTAAACATCCATCATTTAGCAGTGACAGCACAGGGGGCAGGACATAGAAAGTGAAAAAAGACACACTAACTTAGTCCATCAGCACTTGGGTCATATTTGTACTTGAAATTATTTGAAAGAGAAGATTTTGTAAAACACACACACACACACACACACACACACAAAAACAGTTAATCTGTTTGGGAGAGCCTTCACTGTAAAAAGTCACATTGTGTAACCTTAAGATTTTTTTTTTTTAGCACACAAGTTGCAAGGACTGCTTTTATATGGATTGTTGTATGGAAAAGAGCTGCATAAAGATTCTTCTTTTTTTTGTGTTGTGCAAAAAATAACAGACTATGGGTTTGAAACAACACAAGGATGAGTAAACTTTCATTTTTGGTTGATCCATTCTCGTGTAAAAGAAGTACACTTTAAAATACTTTTATATTTAATATATTAATCGCAAACCGAATGTAATTGTATATAATATATCTATCGATTTAAAATGAAATTATTAATACTATTTTTATTTAAATGTGGCTACAGTGTAATTGTAATGGTATGTAATTATGAGTAAGCATGGCAAAAGAATGATTTAAAATATCACCTTTTATTTAATATTAATGTTACCTTTTAATATAATAATGATAATAATATTTTAAATATTATTTTATTTTTATTATTATATTATCTGCAAGTAGTTTTTTTACTATATACTTTAAAGATTTGAAGAACACTATATGTGCACATTTAATTAAATTAAGCACACTTTTTTTTAAGGTTACTTGACAATTTTTACACTGCTTTTTGAAATACTCTGATTGGCTGCATTCAGTTACTGATAGTACTGAAAATTACCTCAGAGAGCTTCTGTTTTTAGTATAATATTGTTGGAGTTCATTGTTGGAGTTGCTTGGTGAAATGCTTGGAAATTGTAATTGGCTATTTTTTTTCTTAGTTTAAGCTTTAATATAATATACTAGATAATATTAAGTCACTTTCCATACTTACCCGTTTTTCTCTTGTTCTCTCATTTCACAGTTCTATCCATCCCTCAGTCTTAGCGCGGTGCGGTGAGTGCTGGCGTACAGCAGCCTCTTCCCTTCAATAATGAAAATATCACAGGAGACCCAGAGGGGGGCTGCTGACCTTTATCGGGCCGGTGCATTATCGCCACGCTTGCTTGCTCTTACGTAAAATGCCTGGCCACACTCTTCTCCCCAGGGCAATATGGCTGAGTGACTGCAGTGGATTGAGTGCTTGTAGATCCATACCCTGTGTAAATAATTTATCACCCTCAGATGCTGCTGAGGATGGGGAGAGGGAAAATAAACAGCTGAGTCTGTAAATGAAGAAAGGGCTTATTTGTGCACTGCAATGCACTCAATTACTGACTGACTTAGAAACGCTGGGAGAAAATTAAGCCGAGCTTGACGGAAACAAAGCAGGATTTGCTGTTCTCCCGTTGGTTTGATGTTGTAGCAGAAGATTCAAAACATATGTTTATGGTATAACAGGCATGTTTTAGGCATGTTAGGGAGCCGCTATCCATGGGCATAGAATATGCGGAGGACTTGGGGGATGTGTCCCCCCCACTTTTAATAATACATTCCAGATCCTGTTCATGGTCTGGGGGTGGAGTCTCCACTCCCCCTGAGTCACTCTTTGCCTTGATAACATGTCCACCCTGCAGTTCAGGTGGCCAGGGACATGGACAGTGCATCGACAAGAGATGTTGATCCGCCCACACCAACAGATTTGTCGCGAGCGAGAGAGTGGATGCCTCTCTGGCGATTTATACTGTATATATGCTACCATTGACATGTTGTCCTTGTGAATGAGAACATGTGTGTGATGAACTTGAGCATAAAAACTCTTGAGTGCCTGGTGAACTGCCTTAAGCTCCAGGCAGTTTATGTGCCATTTTCTTTCCGTGGCTGTCCAAATGCCGGACGCTGGATGGCCATTGCGAAGGGCTCTCCAGCTTGTACACAAATCATCCGTTGTGATAACTTTCCTCTCGCATATCTGACCACAAGTGGAACACCTTGTGCATAGAGAGCTGTGTCCATCCAAGGGGCCAAGGTTTCTAAACATCTGTGCGTTACTAATGTGCGCATCGAATCCGCATGCCAGGCTGACACAGGAACGCACATCTTCAGCCATAGTTGAAACAGCTGCATCTGAAGCAGTCCCAAGCGGCACACCACTGAGGCAGCTGCCATCAGTCCCAGTGTTCCCTGAAAGCATTTCAGGGGGCATGACTGGCCCTCTTTGAACGCTGCAAGCAAGTTCATGATGGCCCTCGAGCACTCTGGTAGCAGGTGGGCTCGCATGGAGATATAATCCAGACTCACGTCCAGGAAAGGATTATTTTGCATGGGTTGCAGCTGGATTTTTTGCATATTGATTGTGAGCCCCAGACGCTGGAGGTGGCTGATAAGAAAACTCCTGTGGCCGCAAAGCTCGCTCACTGAGGGAGCCATAATTAACCAGTCATATAGGTAATTCACTATTCGTATTCCCTTCAATAGAACAGGGGAGAAGGCTGTGTTCATGCACTTGGTGAAAGTGGAAGGGGAGGACCGAAAATTGATAGGCCACCCTTTCGAAAGCAAATCTCAGAAAGTGTCTGTGACGAGGGGCTATCTGGATATGGAAATAAGTATCCTTTTGGTCCACTGAAATAATCCAGTCCCGGGGTTGAACGAGCAATAGGATTAGTTTCAGCATAATCATTTTGAATGAGTATTTTGCTAGAGTGCGATTTAAATGATGTAAGCCTAGAATAGGGTGAAGACCGCTGTCTTTATTTGAAACTAGAAAATAGTTTTGTGTTCCTCAGAAGGCACAGGAGGAGATTGTGAATCTCTGCTCTTAAAACTGGAGCGTTTGGAGCTTGAACTTCCAACGTCACCAAGCCGTTGAACCGGGATGGTCTGTGTGCGAACTGAAGCGTGTAGCCGTTTATTATCATGTTCAACACTCACTCTGATATACCTGGTAATATTCTCAATGCCTCCGCGATCTGTGAAAGAGGTTTCAGCGTGACAGGATCTGACAGCTTGCTGCTGGGTGACGGGGAGCTGTGATTTTTTTGTGAAGTTGTTTGTTTTTTATTGCACAAACATGTGGAACAAACACAGAATAACATTCTTTGTCCTTGCTGCCTGCAACTGGCAGGGAGGCAAGGGGAACAGACAAGACATTTCTTCTTTTTAATGCTGGGCCGTCGCTGTCGTCAGACTCCATTCTCCTCTTCCTCCGAAAGCCATCAGGAAGGAAACTGGACAGTCTTGACTGGTTTTCCTGCTCCCCCCTCCCCCTGCCCCCGCTGGACTGCGTTCATATTATTTTATTTGGGTCCGAACCGCGGTTCGTTTGCATCATCAAGCCAGCAGCTGTTTACCCCGTTGCTTAGTAACGACGGCACAGGAGAAGGCGGCAAATGCAAAACATTGCTCTCTGCACTTTTATATATTTAAGTTTTTGAACCGTTCGTTTTGTTTACAAAGCTTCGGTACATAACGGCACTTACGTCTGTCTTACGAATGTACTGCAAATGCTCTAAAGAATGCTGAAGGTAAATAGAAATGAGATATACAGCTCTCTGCTTGCAGCGCGTCAGTCACACTCGTCAGAAAAGTGAGTAAAACACATTTTTATCAAATAATATGTCTTTAATAGCAGTTCATTTTCTAGCAGTTTTTATTTGGTATGATTGCGTTCATATCAGAAGTGAACAGTACTGGAGTGCAAAACTTGTCACAATGCTAGATGGCTAATTTGATAGCGGTTCACTTCCGCGATTTGGTACGATTGCGTTCACATCAGCAGCGAACCGTACCGGAGTTCACATGAACCGTACCCCGGACCACCCTTTTCAAGCGGACTCGGGTACGGTTCGTGGGTGCGCACCCGAGTTCGGAAGACAGCGTTCACATCATCCAAACAAACCGAAATCTGACGTCAATCGAACCCGGGTGCACACCAAAAGTGATAGTGTGAAAGCACCCTTAGAGACCTCATCGTGCACCTCGGGGTAGAATAGGGCAGGCCTTTGCGGGCCGGCCTCACGTCGTTGACGGGGCTGAAGATAGCACTCGTCCAGTCTATTTCATTCTTGTTCGGTGGGAGGGGACCACTCTAGGTTGTGCTCCTCCACTGCCTTAGAGATGATGTGAAAATGCACCTGTTGTGATCATCGGGGAGCTCTAGAGGTCCCGAGCAGGATGAACAAAGTTTGAAGGACATGTCGCAACTTCACCGGAATGCTGAAAAGGATTGCAATACAATCCACTTTTTGTGATTATTCGACAACAAAGGTGAGGTTTCCAAATAATTCAGGTGAAGTAGAAAGATTCTGAGGAAAATGACACTTTGTACTGCCTTATTTTCACACGCTTGAGTGCCATTGGCCATTGCAAAGCAATGGCGTTATGCGAATCAGGTTTCAGTGTTCTAAGGAGAAAGGTGTTTCCCCAAAGCATCAGCATAGCTGTACCCAACGCCGAGAGACCATCTCGAAAGGGAACCACCCACTCCCGCAAGATTTGCGTTGGGTCCCGTGGGACTTGCAGTATCCCAATCCCAATGCAGGCCTTTAGTATGTCTATCTAAAAAGTGTAATTCATCCATGTTTGTTTGTTTATTTATTTATTTAGACCTAATAATTTTTATCAAAATTTCTTAACTGGATCTTCTGGTGAAATGTCAGACTTCTCTCTAGTGATGTAAGCCGGTGTCGTGACAAACCGGGCCCTCAATTGAAATCGGGTCTCCATCAGTTAATAGATATACCTAGTGCACACAAACAATATTAATTTAAAATATGTAAATAATTGCTTACTACACAGTACATAATTTAAAAAAATTAATTTCTTTCACTTGATAAACTGTTAATAATAATAATAATAATAATAATGATGTTTAAAAAAATTAATTTCTTTCACTTGATAAACTGTTAATAATAATAATAATAATAATAATAATGATGATAATAATAATAACAAACATAATTACATTGTTCTTCTTAATCTGGCATCTGTATGCTAGTACATACGCAAACTAAACAGACATTAACGGTAATTATTATGTAGTTCATAATGTCATTTTGTAGGATTTGTAATCTGGCACTAAAGAGAGTACCCATAAAAGTTCTTTGAGCCAATGGGATCGTCTGGGGTCCTAGTGGAGACCTGATTTGTCATAACACCAGATTTCATCATTCCACTGAAACTCCTTCTTATAATCAACTGCAGGCTTGCATTCACATCTACTGCCATCCAACCAACAACCAATGCATAGAACCAAGACCCTGCACTACTGCACTTTTTTCTTTTCCGATAGTCCATTTCACACAGATGTATGTCACAATACAGAAGAAAGGATTTGTCTCTACTTGTATTACACTGAAACTTTAAACAGAATTTTGAGGTGGAAAAGCAGTGTAATATTTACATTTATCATTTGGCAGATGTTTTTATCCCAGGCGATTTGAATTTAAAGTATAATTTTTTGAACAAAAAATGTAATGTATTTGAATAAAGAATAAAAAAAAAAAGAATGTTAATAACGGGAGGGGGCATTAAGAATGTTAATAAAAAAAAAGTTTTTAATAGTAGCAAAGGGCTAAAGGCGCTATGCGTCTAACAGTGCCCTTTAGCTGTGACTAGCACAACCTCTCATATAATACATTTTGACAAGCTATTTAAAAATGTTCTTAATTTAACATTTTGAGCCCATTAGTGTTTTGTGTATCTCTGAAGGAATGCCTACCCTGGCGTATGTTGATATTGGTTAATCTTTTTCTAAAGATGCTGGAGGGTTGGACCCTCACAGTCAGGCACGTGCACAGGTAGGGCTCAACCTGTGCAGAGCACATGCCCTTTTTGCCCTTACACTCCGAAGTGCCCTTTTTTTGGTGATGGTGTTTTTTTTTTTCCTTCAATAAATCAATGATATTGGTCACCCTACATCTGTCTGTCTGCTTTACAAATATTTAGCTAATGAAAGGTATTAAAAAGAGCTTGTGACTAAATCTTGTTGGATCCGCTCAAACTGTCAGTAAACTCCACCCCCTCTATCTTGACTGAATGAACTGAAGTTCCACAGCAGCTGAACTAGGTCTGCAAGGGTAAAGATCTTGTTGTTTGAATAAGTACAGCGTTTTGAAGTATTCAGCGTACTTGAATAAGTACATGCAAGAAACACTGTCTATAAAGGCTCATAATTTATGTATTTGAAACTGAGCGCCGCGCCCATATAGCTACAACAAACACCTGGTGATGAAAACGTAACGCCGCCGTTTTAATGACGGACAAAATGCACATTTGCACACATTCACTGGTCAAAAACCCCGTAACTGCATTTGAGTTTGACACAAAGCGACTGAGTGATCCTCGTCACCTAGGTAAAATATATTTCTAAGAAAT